TAGTGCCAACAATCATCCATTTTCAAACACATTAACTTTATAGTAGAGGGAGAGGAAGAAGTCTACATTTCATTAAAAATGGAAAAGAAGAAATTCAAGAGAGCTGAGAAGAAAGGCCTGTGTACATCTCCCAACCAATGGAGGGTGAAGTCTGATGTCATGGAGCCGGGGTGGGGAATTAAAACTACAGAGTGTTGCCTTTCATTTTTTTAAGTTAACAGTGAGCCTCAGTTTATTCAAAAGGATTGAATTTAAGAAGAGACCCCTCTCCTAACTACAGATGGTAGTAAACGACAAGCAGCTACTCTTTACTATGAAGAGGTTTTGCTCATCTAGGGAAAAAATCATCCCAACCAAAAAAAAAAAAAATCTCAAGGGCAGACCATGCCAGCTAATTAGAACAGTAAAAAGGAAGCAGTTGAGACTGCACTAAAGATGGTACAAGGTGTAGCGGCTGAGTTCTGCCTCCAGGGACCCAACAGCATGGCCTCGGAGCTGGTACCATGTTTTTGTTTTTGTTTTACCCATTTGAACCCCACATGGTCAAGCTACAAACCTCCAAGTTTGAGAGAAACACCAAGGCTGATGCCCAAATGGAAAAGGCATTCTCAAAAGATGAGAATAACCAGGTACTTTTCCTTCTACCTCCAAAAACAAGAGAAAGTGAGAAAGATAGAAGAGGTAGCAGAAGAAAGGCTCCCAATTGGCAAGAGGCACCAGTAGGCAAAGACATACCCATAGTCAAAGCAGCTCTAACTACTGACCTCCATAGATAGCTGAATTATCATATGACTTGGCCCACAAGCTCCCACCTGTCTGACTCTGCACAGCACTTTAGTCATAAAGGGTTCTAGGTCACACCATTCATATAAGATCCTTGGAAGCCATCTTTCCCTCTGATTCATTAACTCATTAAGAAAACCTTCTAACTACAATTTGGTGATATTTCCTGCTGAGGGCAGTTGTTCTGCCTGGACATCTCTGAACCAGAATCAGGCACAAATGAGTCAACCAACTCTCCCTTTCAGTTGACCAGGCCACTTTCTGGCCCAATGGGATCTGACCATGGCACGATGTCAAAGCCAGAAGAAACCTGAAACATAGCAGCTCAATACACTAAAGGACTTGGGGGAAAAAACAAACAAACCCAATACCATTTTTAAGGTGACTTCTGTATGCTAAGAATGGATATACAAAGATAAAAAACAAACCAAAAAACCCCACCACTATCAACAATGAAATAGTCTCTACCCTCAAGGTGCTCATATTCTACAGAAGAGAAAACAACATGAACAACATGAATGATACAGTAGAAGGGCTGAATTTGACCTTGCGGGACCTGGGATCGAATCCTGACTATGCCACTTCCTAGCTGTGGGGACAAAAGCAAGTCATTTAAAGCTTCAGTTTTCTCATATATAAAATGAGAACATTCAGCTACCTGCTTTATGTGCAAGCACTTTGGAAAACTTAAAGTATTATATAAATGCTAACTATTATTATTATTATGCCCAAGGGAAAGAGATTTGAGGGCTCTGGAATCAGACAACTTGGAACAAAGCCTAGCTCCAATGCTTACTACCTCTTTGGTGTTGAATAAATTGCTTAACCTCCCTTGGTCTCAGTTTCCTCTTCCGGAAACTAGGGAGTTAGACCAGCTGGCCTGAGGCTCCTTCCAGCTCTCTACCTTTCACAATGAGGCCCCTTCCATTTCTAAAGCTATGATCCTTGATAAGCAAATATGAACTATATGCCAACACAAAATAATTTCAGGTGAGTAGCAACATTAATTAACTGGGAAGTGGGAGAGGGGATCAGGAAGGTGCATCTGTAAGAGGGGACACCTTAACTGTACTTTGATGGATTTTGAGAGGCAAGGGCAGGAAGTGCCTTCACTTACACCAACCCTGTAAGGCGAGTAAAGTAAATGCCCATTTTACAGATGGGAAAACTGAAGCCCAGGGAAGTGCTGTGACTCATGGGCCAGGATCCTTAGAAGTCATCAAATCTAACCCTCCTGATTTTACAGTGAGAAGTTAGGTGACTCACCGAGTGTCACACAGCCAGTGTGAGAACCTGGATTTGGACAAGGCTTTTCTCCCTGCAGGAGCACGGCTTTAAATCCTAGAGGGACCTTAAAGAACAGGTGAACAACTGACCTCCAGCGCTAATTCCACTGTCCAGTCCTTGAAGTAAAAGGAACTAACTCAGGGTCTAATTGATCTCTCTAAACACCATCATTATCAGCAAACTGCTTTTTTTTAATGGAGTTTTTCTCAGATGGGCCATTTTTAACAAAAGCAATAACTTCCCTGGTAATGAGCCTATTTCAGACTGCTCTTATCACAAGGCCAAGCAAGACAGTTCTCTTAGGCTGCCGTGCTGGGCCCCCACTTGAAATCCCACCATTCCGAGAGATCCTTAGCATCCTTTATCATCCAGGCACCTAGCTCACAGACTGACACGTTCAGCACCTCACTGGTGCTCAGTGAGGTCCCCAGATAGGCCAGTAAAGAGGCCCCCTGAGGATCTTCACCAGATCACATCTAGACTGGGCCCAAAGCCAGACTCCACATGATCTGACCCAATTGAGGACGTGTCTCGCTGGTGAAAAGAACAGAGCCACCGAATGTGGGCCAGTGAAGAATGCTTCAGTGACTTGGTTATTAAATGTGTTTATTCCATTCGCTGGATGCTCCTATGTTTAATCCCCTCTAGGAATGTTTGCTGATATCATGGGGTGAAGGGGGAAAGAGAGGGAGGAAAGTCATTATCTACTATGACAAACTGGCATCTCTAGGAGAGATCACTTACAAAGCCGTACCTATACATAAGCACACTTTCTGATCCTGACTTGTGATTTCTTCTGGGTGTGGGTAACTTCCAATGTGAAAACTTCTTCCACCAATTCAGCATTACCACTCCTTTGTAATTTTATCATCTTAGAGAGTGCCTAGGGGCAGGACAAGGTTAAATAACTTACCCAATGTCAGAGAGAGAAACTGGACCTTGGTCTGAAGCTGGCTGTCTAACCACTATACTACCCTGCCTGTCATATACAGTGTGGCCCAAACATCTTTTAAACATAGTTTTAATTACTTAAAGCTGCAGTAGGACTATACAGACATACAAATATATTTTTACATATCTATCTCTACACACAAAGAAACATGAGAATGAAAGCATTTACAACATGAGAAAGGAGGGACCCAGTGAACATCAGCAAAATATTTATTGGGGAAAGGGAACAACGAAGGGGGAGAGGGTCTTGGTTTCTCCTCTCTTTTTGGGGGGGGAGGGGAGAAGTGGGAGGGGATGGGACTAGACGATTGTTTTATTTGAGTTACGAACTGCAGATGAGCAAAGAGGTTAAGTGACTTGCCCAGGATCATACAGCCAAGGTTTGTCAGAAGTGGCACTTGAACTCAGGCCTTCTTGGAATTCCAAGACCAGATCTCTATCTCTCCACCATGCCACGCTGTGTCAGTGTTATTGATTTGGTTAAAACCTACTCTTTTCTGTGTGTAGAAGCCCTCCAGTGCTAGCAAGGATCATGGGATTTAGAACTAGAAGGAATCTTAAAGATTATAGAGTTCGAACCTTTCGTCTTCTAGAGGATGAGACTGGAGCCCAGAGAGATGAAGAGAGTGTGCATTAAGTGGCTGAGAAATAATGGACACCTGCATCTTCTAACTCCAAACCCAGAATTCTTTCCACTATACTTGGAAGTCCACGGAACATGGAAGATGCCTACATCGTGACCTGGCCAATCCACAAGCGTTCATGAAGTATCTCCTATGTGCCTGGCACAGTCCTAGGTGTTGGGGAAATGGTCCTTTCTGTCAAAGAGCTGACATTTTACAATCAACAATCACAATTTACAATCAACAATCTCATAATTTACAATCAATCAACAAACAGTTATTAAGCACCTATTGTATTTCAGCCACAGTCCAGATGCTGGAGATACAGATAAAACTAACAGCCCCTTCCTTCAAAGAGCTTACAACTTTTGATCTTAATTTATGCTTAATCAACAAGCAGTTATTAAGCACCTACTGTGTACTAGGCACAGTTCTAGGTACTGGGAATACAAAGATAAAATATTAACAGTCCCTTCTGTCAAAGAGCACACGTTTTACAATCAATCAACAGTTACTAAGCACTTACTATATTTCAAGCACAATCCAGATGCTAGGAATATGGAGGTAAAATATGAATAGCTCCTTCCTTCAAAGGGCTTACATTTTGCAATCGATGTGCAGTAAATAAGCACCTCATGTATGCCAGGCACTGTCCTAGGTGCTCTGGATGGCCATCCAACACATTCTTACTTTTGAATTGGGAGTCATCCTGATCTACATCCTGCCATCTGTTTCAATGTGGGTAAACGAGGTTCAGAGATATGAAGGGGGCTGAACGAGATGACCTCTAAGATCCTTTCCAGCTCTAAATTTATGAGGCAATGATCCACATGACCTCACTGAACCTCAGTTTCCTCATCTGTAAAATAAGGGGATTAGAACAGATGTCCTCTAAGGTTGCTTATAGCTCCAAATCTATGATTTTATAAACTAATCCAATCCCCATCCCCTTTTATTAAAACAGTGAAGCAATTGAGACCAAAGGAAAAGAAGAAAGTTACCCAATACTGCATGGGTGGCAGAAAAAAAGCAGAGCCCAGATTCAAATCCAGCACCTCCCCCACCCCACTCCCTTCAGTGCCCTTCCCAAAACCCCATGCTGGCACCTGATGGCATCAAATCTGCCAGACCGGTTACAGAAGAGCTCCTTGAAATTTCCCTGAAGGGCTGCAACTGGGCAGTCCTAAGTGCTTAAGAGATTCCAAGTCCCTGGAGGCCCCAGGTTCCCCACCTCTGCTCTAAGTGCCAGAGGTACAAAGAAAGGGAAAAACAAACAAACAAAGAAAGTGTACAAACTAGGCCCTGCCCTCAAGTTGCTCACATTCAAAAGAGGAAGACAACATACAAATCCCTAGGCACCCAGAGGCTGTAACCAGAAAGGAAGAAGCAGAGGGCTGAGGTGGTATGGGAGCCAGGCACTGGGCTGGAATGAAACAAGGCGTCGTCTGTCCCTGAGGTGAGCACCTTTTTTTTTTTTTTTACCAGCACTATGTTTACAAAGTTGGAGAAAATAAAAAACCCAACCAAAACAACATTTAAATTCATGCAAGTCCTCATTTATCCAGGAAATGTTCCTGCAAATATTGAGGCTAATAAGTAACTGAGGAGGCAGTGTGTTACAACTGCCAAATGTTGAGCAAAACTATTTTTTTTTAATAAGTCACCTTGGGTACAAGTGGGTTCTCGGCAGGCCCTAAAAGAGGGGCTAGTTCTGGGAAGCAATGGATCTCAAGAGCTGGAAGGGTCCGTCCTTGGACACTTAGGACAACTGCTACCTGCGCAGGGACCCTCTCCACATCCTGCCTGCCAAGTGGAAACCCAGCCTTGGCTTGAAGACATCCAGTGAGGGGAAACTGACCCATTCCACATTTGGACCTCCCTAACTGTTAGGAGGCAGATAGGGGGCGCCATAGTGGATAGAGCTCCAGGTCTGGAGTTAGGAAGACCTGAGTTCAAAACTGGCTTCAGACACTTACTAGCTGTGTGACCCTGAGCAAGTCATTTAACCTCCGTTTACCTCAATCCACTGGCGAAGGAAGTGACAAACCACTCTACTTCTTTGCCAAGAAAACCCCACGGACAGCACTGGCATGCTATGATTCACTGGGTCACAAAGAGTTGGACGTGGCTGGATGACTAAAGAACAATTGTTAGGAAGGTTTTCACAACGTAGAATCTAATTTGTCTTTTTGTAATTTTGTTGTGATTCTGCCCAGGTCTTTCAGAAATGTTTTTCTCCAAAGACAAGTCAGAGCCAATGGATGAGAAGGTGAGAAGAGCAAGGTAATCACAATATCAATGATAATTGTGTCTTATATGTGGCACTTTAAGTTTTTTTCTTTTCAGTTGACCCTCAAACTAACCCTGTGAGAGAGGTGCTATTATTATCCCCATTTTATAGATAAGGAAACTGAGGCTCAGAGGGATTTAGTGATTTGTCTGAATAGTTGGTAAACATCTGAAGCAGAATTCAAACCCAGGTCTTCCTGAGGTCAAGTCCAATGCTCTCTATTTCATCT